AAAAAGAATAAGAATTAACTATGCTGAACCCACACACACAAAAGGTAGAGATTTTCAGATTGAATAGAAAAGCCAGACCTAAATACATGCTACATACTAGAAAAAAATGCATGTTAAATATAAAAACATGAATATGTTAAAAGTATTAGAAAAGATATATTAAATGAAAGGAAATCTGGAATGATGTATTAATATCAGGCCAAACAGATGTCAGAACAAAGAATATTATCAGGGATGAAAGAACATTTGATGATAAAAGGGTTCAATTTATCCAAAGGACATGAAAAGTGTAAATGTTAGTGCACCTAATAATGAGCTACAAAATACTTGAAGCAAAACAAAACAAAAACAAATCAAAACAAAAAGAGAAATAGATGAATCCACCAACATGGCAGGAAATTTAAATTGGCCTCTTTCAGTAAGTGATAGAGTAGGCAGAAAACAAGTAAGGGTACAGAGGCTTAACTAACACTAGCAACAAAGTTGATTTAATTGACGTACAAATATATTTAGAAAATTCTATCGAGAACTATAAAGAATACTACATCCAACATCAATTTTCAAGTGTGTATGGAGCATTTACCAAATTAGACCACATTTTGGGTGATAAGGCCTGCCTCAACAAATTTGAAGCTACTTAAGTCATACAAAATATGCTGCATGACTACAATAGAATCAAATTAGAAATCATTAATAGAAAAATATCTTTAAAATCCTCAAGTGCTTGGAAATCAAACAACACTTCTAAAGAATGCATGGATTAATAAATAAATAAAGAGGGGAATTAGAAACTATTTTGCAAAGAATAAAAATGAAAACATGGTCTGTTAACATTTGTGGTAATTCACTAGAGCAATACCTAGATGGAAATCCATAGCTTAAGTTCCTGTATCAGAAAACTAGAAAGTCTGAAATTAATGACCTAGCTTCTACCTTAAGAAAAAAAGAAAAAGAAAACCAAGTTAAATTCAAAGTAAGCATAATAAAGAGAATAATAAAGATTCTAATCTTTATTAGAATTCTAATAAAGGGAATAATAAAGATTCTAATACAAATTAATAAAATAGAAAAGCAATGGAGCATATCAATGAAACAAAAAGCTAGTTCTTTGAAGAGATCAATAAAATTGATAAACCTCTAGTCAAAAAGATAAGGAAAAAGGTGAACACACAAAATGCCAAAATCTAGAATGAGAGGTAACATTCATCTAGAGTTTACAAATATCAAAAGTCTAATAAAGGAATATCATGAATAATTCTATGTCAATAAATTCAATAAGTTAGACAAAATGGAAAAATTCCTTGAAAGACATAAATTCTTTCAAGAAGAAATAGATAAACCAAATA